CATCACATCCAAACCCATCATTCATCTCAGGAAGCCCAGAAACAGTGCTTCAATCTGACAATTAAGAGTCTCAGTGCCTCCATCGATACAAAATGGCCACCCAGCCTCCTCGAGACGCGACAGTCGTCCTTCGAGACCACACCGACTACAGAGCCTGGATGATGCAGCTGCAATCGAGATGTGTAGCGCACGGCATCTGGCCGCAAGTGGATCCTAAGTTGACCATCCAAATGATCTCCAAACCAAGAGCTCCAGAGATGCCGCTAATAGCTGAGTTTTCACCAGCCTCCAACGTCGAAACGCCTACGCACATGAACAAGCTATTAACAAGCGGTGTTAGAGCCTTTAAAGAAGCTATTAAATACTACAAGATTAAGGCTAACAAGTACAAGAGTAACAGACATAATTATAAAAGAGAGCAATTAAGCCTCTAACAGATTATTGTCTTTATCTAGTTAACAGTTAGCCCGCATCTGCAGCGTACATGCTGTTCCCTAGATTAACTACTTAGACAGTGGATTACAAACCTTAAAGCTACAGTGGGCGTTAACAACTAATTTAAACAAGAACGTGCGCGCAACTAATATAATGCATCCCTAAAGCTGCTAAGAAACGCGAGCATATAGGACCTGTAGCTAGCAGAGTATGATTACGCTGCTACAGAAGCGGAGACACAAAATGTTCTAGAAACAACATAGTTTAATGCTGTAGCAAAGGACTTTCTAACTACTATAAATAAAGTTGCCCCTTATTAGTCTACAACTTTTTAGGAAAGCAGATAGTTTACACTAGACATAAATTAAAAAGAAATAATAAAGCGCTTTTAAAAACATATAATGTTAAATTATTTAATATGTATAGAAAAGTATAAAGCTACCTTTACAACAGATAACTTGTTATATCTTGCTAAAAGTAGAAAGACTACCTAGGGCACAAACAGAGACGCCTGTAGTGTAGAAGTTGCAACATTAAGAAAATAAAGTAGACCTTAACATTAATGTTATTAAAAAGATAACAGAAAGTTATCTTTAAGCTAGAAACCTGCTAAAACAGGAGGCACTAAATGTCCTGCATGTAGACACATCTATGCGCTAAAGGACTGCTTCTATGTCTATCTAGACAGAGCACTAGACTAGTAGATGCTAAATAAGAGAGTTAAAGAGCTTATAGCATTAAAGCGCAAGCACAACTTAGAATTTTAAGGCCTGCTAAGAGAGCAGCGTAGACATAATTTAAAAATACTAACTCTAAAGAGTTTACATACACCTACACTAAAGATATAAAAAGACTAACTTAAAGGCTAGAAAGTATTAAGAGTTAAGGCAGCTGCATTACTAGCTATAGTTAATTTAAACTAAAACAGATATCTACTAAGAGAATTATTTATCCTTAACTTAGGCTTAACATGCTACATTATAAATAATTCTAATTAGATCTATAACTATTATTTACTAACACTAGAAGACTTTATCTAGTCTAGAAACTTTTGCATATAGATTTAAAGCTATAGATTAATTACACTAAGCCTAAAAAGTAAGCATAGAACACATAGTTAAGCATACAGTCTTGTACTTTATAACACTGCACTGTGCCTAGACCTGCTGTGCAACCTAGTCTTGTTCCGCCTACTGCAATAGAAAGGAATCTAGTAGGACACATAAGCAGAGCTAACTGCTTTAAAGGCCTTAGACAGGATAATAATTAGAGATCTTACAAAGATCTATAGCTAATAAGTGTTAGAGTACTATCTACTATAGAAGGGCTTATATTATACACACACAATTAACACAAGAACTAAATGTAGTCTATAAAAGGCATTAGTAGAGCTATAGCATAAGCGTCTAGGACACTCTAGACTAGCTACACTTTAACACTTTATATAGTAAGCTAAGGGGGTGTAAATTAAAGAAATTACAACAGTCTAATATAACTTATATAGCAGAGCTAAGATATAATAATAAATTAGCTGTGCACTATAAATTAGCAACAGCAGACTTAGTAAGAGACTGTTAATTAATTTCTATGCATACAAAGCATAAAGCATTATAAAAGAGTAAAGTTAAATGCTAATTACTAACAAGTATTCTAGCCTCTAGTAGGACCTCTACTTTAAAGATAATAAGCCTACTAAATTAATTATTAAAGCTTTTATAATTTTTATCCTCTTTCTAAAGAACTATTATAATATTACTGTAAAAGTTATTAAAGCTAACAATAAGATTATAACAGTAAAACTAGAGGTAAAACGCTAGCTAGCATTACATAGAATAACTGTTAAGCCTTTAGCACTAGATACATAAGCCTAGAACAGAGGAGCTAAACGCTTAGAGGGTGTAAACAAGGAGAAGTTACAGGCTATGTGACTAGATGCTAACCTACTATAGGACGTATAGCCATACATTACTAGAGCTGGCGTATACCTATACAATTAGACGCTAAACTATGCTAATAACTAAAAGACACTATATAAGATCTTCT